AAATTAACATAAAAATTTGAGAATTAGTCATGGCTACATATTTTTGGCCAGCACTGTAGATTGAAAGTCTGCTCTGATTTCGGATTTATATCTTAACATTCATTTTAACTTAACATTGTATCAAACATATCTGTTTACTGACGCACTTGCAGCCCACAACCTCACATTCTCGAATTCCGTCAGCCTTATCAGTACCGAGTACCATTATGTCATAATAGGGTACATAATACTCGTTTGAGGCTGACCACATGTGCTATTACATCTACAGCTGATTTATATGCCTTTTGTTTAACTAGTCATAACATGTTGACTAATTTCTTTTTATTTCAACATATGATCTATCAGTGATAGGGAACGATTCTGGCGACTTCTGTATATTTTCCTGTAAAATTCATCCACGAAAGATCATACCGTTATAGCGGATCACTATTAAAAAACGCCGATATGGAGTCAAAACCTGCCGTTGCAAAATCTACTCCAAAAAACGCTTGTCCAATTTGTGGGAACAACGAAAAACTACGAGTTTGTGGTTCATGTAATCAAGTGCGCTATTGCTCTCGCGAACACAACACCAACGTCAGCACTGGAATGCACATCGTATCAATTGCACGTCTCAGTCGAAAAAAGAGCGATTTCAGATGGAATCTCTATCTTACCTCAATGGAATGGTAGTTGTGGTGGAGATCAAGAGCGGGCAAGGTAATGGCCTTACGAATGATATGATCAATCACGTCTTCAATTCGCAAACCATTGCTTTGGAATACGTACGACAACAACTGGGCTATCGCCAGACGGAGAAAATGGAAAAACTTTCGCAAATGCCATTCTTGCAAGATCTGCTAGGCTTCATTGAAAGTGACCTTATCGTCTATCCTCGTCTCAATAGCTTTACCAGGGATCTTGACAATATGTATAAATGCATGAGAATACGCGGTGAGCTCAACGGGATGGCTATTTACCTTGGATGTGCGCTGGATAACGGCTTGTCGATGCATTTGAATGCGAGGGGAGATGCCTTTTTTATTGGCACAACGTCAACAGGTAAACCAGTCACTAGCAACGTGCTTTGGGGAGCTGCGAGCTTTATATACAAGGCTATGGATTACTACTCTGATGAAGATTACGCACCAGAGCAACGAGAAGAATTATTCCGCAAATGGGGTCAGCAATATCGTATGGGTACGTGGGAGCCTATGGCGGGAAGTGTTGGTCTTAACTTGTACCAGACAGACCCTTTCAAATGTCAGACGCACTGGACAACACTTGATCATCGTACACACTCGTAAGCTTATAAGAAACACGAGAGAGCACAAGGCTAGGAATGTAATGACGAACAAGAGCTTGCAGTGCATCGGCCTTTTCTTTGGAGGAGACTATCTCAGTTCACTTCGCTCGCTAATATTTGAAAAATGCGAATAGCTCATAAGAAAAGCCGCAAACATTCGATGAAACAGTGTCGCATTGGTAATAATTCAATGGAAATGTCGTATGAAGAGACTTTGGTTCTCGAAATCAAACTTTCTGTATCAATCACTTTCCAACAATGTCGAGATCTGTCGGAGCTTGTGGTTCAAAGGAAAAACTATTGGGCACACTAATTTAGGTCAAAGGCTGAAGTTTGCTCTGCTGTTGCACACACTGAGCTCACTTAACAAATTCTCTTCTCGGGCACAAAACCTCATACGAGATGAGCATCTATCATCTCGAAAGCTACAACTCGCTTCAAACACCAGGCGTTAGGTTTGACACAGTACCAGATTATGCTGAGCTTCTGGCTTTACTAAACTTGGTTATACCCTCTAGCGATGTGCTATTGCCTCCAGTTGAAACACCATTAACCGGCGACTCGCCTCCGATATCAACTCCTTTTTGTACATCTCAAGACGTTTTCGAATGCGCTTTCCAAGTTGATTCGTCAAGGTATTTGAGTGAACCCGTCAGCTCTGTGACACCAAATTTGCCATCTTCTGAACAGATCTCAGACTGGATTGAACCGATGCCGTATCGTTGTCTAGACCCCGCTTTTTCCTCCGATACCCCTCTGGGTGAATTACTGGCTTTTCTCGTAGCGGAAGATACAATTACCGTACCGGGAACGGATCAAAACAAGTCTAATGAGTGCCAAATTGTTGGATGCCACACGAAGAAGCAAAGCAACGGAAGGTGCATTCGTCACGGTGGCGGAAGACGATGCAACGTTCAAGGTTGCACTCGTGGAGCACAGTCCATGGGTCGATGCAAACGCCACGGAGGTGGTGCGCGCTGTACGATTGAAGGATGCACGACTAGTAGTCAAGGTGGAGGTCTGTGTCGTACTCACGGCGGAGGCAAGCTGTGCACTGCGCCAGGCTGCAAGAAAGGTACCCAACGCCAAGGTAAGTGTGCTACACATGCGAGTCGGAAGTGTAGTATTGACAATTGCTCAAGAAACGCGCGTTTTGAAGGCATTTGCAGCCGTCATATGAAAGAGAGGCAAAAACATTAGCTTGATTCTCATAAAGCCCCAGAAAAACGAAGCGATTTCAGCACCTCGTATTGTGATTAGCAACGTAAAAAGATGAAGCACGCACCACTCAGGCAAAAGTAGACGACTTATTTGATCATAACTCATATGAATTGTTCCATTTGTTTTCTCGGATCTTCAAGTCATTTAAGGCTGCAACAAACGGCGATTCTCTTCCTCTTTTGCCAATTTTTCCTCTTCTAATGTCTGCTTGGCTAATTCATAGCGCGGGTCTAGCTTCTCTTTCTTGTAAGCAGCTCCCAAGAATTGTGGGTCCGTTTCGGCCTTCTCGGCGTACTTCAAAAGCGCTTCCCGTGGGTCTTCTTCTCGGAAAGAAGACCGAATATGACTGCTCATGAAGTACTGAGTAAAAGTTGAGCTACCACTGATCTTACCACCCATGCCGGGACCAGTGAGTGGCTTCTCAGGTGCACGAGATTTCTTTGGGTCAGCACGCACTTTGTCGTACTTGCGCTTGTGCGAACCGGCCGACTCATCACGGTACATGGGCAACGCATTCGGATTGTACACCTTACCAGCGCCATCGATACGAACACCAGACTCGTGACTTTGCACTTTCAGCTTCTTTGTAGCACTCAATAGCACACCCTTAGTACTTTGCCTCGGATCGTAAAAAACACGACAGGTTCCCGTCGAGCTACCAACAAATAGTTGATTGATACCATGATGCCATTCCACGCATATTGCACTCTCGTCTTCCTTCATATCGATGCTAGCAACAGCCTCAACTAAATCAGACGTGTGAACATCTAAAAAAAGGACGCTTCCATGAAGGCCTTTGCCCTTTCGAACACACGTGCCGGCAGCAATTGTCGTGCCGTTGTGGTTAAAGGCAAGATTACAAGTGCCAAAGACCCCTTCAATTCCGCAAAATTCTTTCAAGCTCTGTTTTGTCTGACGAATATCCCAAACCTTTATTTTGTCGTCTGCACAAGACCGCGAGGCCATTAATTTACCATCAGGTGTAAATTGAATCGAAGAAATGCCCAAGTCACCTCCTCCGTCAATGTGAGCATCCCGGATAGTCACTGCGGCACCAGCGTATGCATGGCGTGGATCAATACACAGCACTTGGCCGTCCATCGTGGCGCCAGCAATTAATGATCCATCAGGATTGAACTGACAGGCCGTCACGCCACAACGCCGGCCTCGTCGATCTTTAAATTTAAACACAGACGTGTTAATGAGCTTGTCGAATGTCTTCTTGCCATCAAGAGACCAGAGGCGCACTGTTCCGTCTAACGAGCTCGTGATCACTTGATCACGTCTTTTTGGGTGCCATTGACCACCTGTCGCTGTGTGTGTATGCCCATGCGTATGTGCCATATCTACGACATACATGTCACCTTTTGCAAACTGTAACTCCTCCACACCTTCTCGTGTAAGAATTTTTGGCTGGGATGATCCCGTGACGGCAAGCAGACGGTCACCAGAAGGACTGTAGCTTACGGCAACGAGCGGATGGCCATCATCAACCTCGATGTCTCTAAATGGACGTACATGACGCGCCATACCAGCAAAATCCCACAGTTTGACATGATAGTCCATCGATCCAGTGGCCACACGAGCCCCAGGTGCGTCGACGGCGATACAAGCCAGCCCCTTTGTGTGACTTTGAAGCCCAACTTCATGCGTCTTTGGCACGCCATATCGAAGATCAACATCATCGACGTCTTCGTCATTGTCACTCTCAGACTTTACGTCAGATTGTTGCTCGTCTTCTATCCTTATCGAAGTATCAGAGACCTGAGGGGTGGTCTGCATCATTTCTGCAGTCATGGCTGCGATCTCAGCCTGTCGCTGATATATATAAGTAAACTATCGTTAAATTCACCATTGTAAGTACAATAAAGCAGTTTGATATTTCACTACCTTGTTCCTTTGCTCATTGACGACTGTCGACTGATTCGCACTGCTCTTTTGGTCGCCAAAACTTTGCATCTCTCGCATCATCCGCTGAAGCTCTGGATCTGAGGTTACTTTACTTGACTGTTTGGACTCACCAGTCTGAAAGACATAGCGTCTTGTACTAGCTCCAAACCGGATACAGTCTCCAGTCTGGAGTGGTCTTTGCTGGTTTGGCTTGATCTCATCGTCATTGACGAATGTTCCTTGAGCCGAGCCTAAGTCCATGACACAGACGCGATCTTGATTGTCATGACCAATTACAGCATGCTGCCGTGAGATTGAAGGATGCTGAAGCCACACATCGCTCTTTTCGTCGCTGCGTCCCAGAACGTAGCATGAGCGTGATCCAATCTCAATTTGCTCAACAAAAATGCCTTCTTTCTCTACTTGGAGCTTTGCTGCACGATTGCATGATGCAGGAGATCCCACCCTGAAGGAAGCAAGATAAAGTAATCAATAGGTCAGTGGCAATGAGAAAGCATTCTGAAGGATGGACTCGCACCACTTAGGCGTTTGAAATCCCATTTTTGAGTTTTATAACTATATGAAACTCTAGTCACAAAAATGATAACTTTTTCATTTTTTAGTCTTTTCAAAAGCTACATCACTTTTAGTAGAATGTAGTTGACGATATAAAATGTTTGTCAGCACATAGACCAGGCGCGCTGTGTATATAATACACCACGAGAATCTACGACGTTTGTAGATTATTATAACCACGGGATCCATCGTATATCGGATAGTTTTGTGAGACTAAGGTTTGCTTCAAGACAAATTGTAAGCTAACAAAGATATTCAGTTTTGATTTTAACTAGTCTTAGTTGTGATTTTCCAAGGGCGAGGCACCGTAAACCGTGCCCCCTGGAGGTTTGTATAGTTCCCTGAATTTTTTTAAAACGTCCTGCAAATAGAAAGATTTGAGTATACCATTGCATACCGCGTCTTATCTACCTCGACATCTTTTGTCGCCCGTACTAACAGCCTGAATTAAGCCATTGATCGCAAGATACACATTGGAAGATGAATACTATTGTTATTCTTAAGATTTTAGTGCTGCGTTGCAATCAAGCCTGCCAGTTACACGCGACTTGGCTGGGTGGTACTCGTGTCATCAACATCGCGTAAGTGGCTCTCATTCTGCGCTCACTACGATTTATAGTGCGCGGCTTTATTGACAGTTCCGCATTAATCGCACCTCGTGTTCTCTCGTGACGAGCTCCTATGTCAGCGAGTCGGCCAAAACGGTACAGAAGCTGATGTGTTTTTGCTGATTTGTTAGAAGTTGCGCTAGCTAACTGACAAAAGCGCTCATGGAATCTCGAATATTCTCATTTCACGCATCATTGACATGATGATGTGCCGATGTGAAAAGGAGATTGTTGACTAAACTCCGTTTCTCAAAGTGCGACATCGGACGCGTCATTGTATCGTCGTGTGCCCCGTCGGCAAGACGGGCCGACGGTAACCGCAAAAATCATTACAAGACAGACTTTTGTCAGCATTTCGCGTGTCTCTTTTGCACGTCGACAATCCAGCACGGTGGCGCATCGCTCAAGCTTGATTTCTTTGGCAATACTATCCCAAATGTTGTATTCTTTGAGTTACTCCTAAACTCTGACCTTTGATGTCCAATCATAGTTATGTGAAAATTTGAGCGAGTTGGCAGGTGGGTCCATTGCGAAGGCGGGGCAAAACCAGGAGAATAGGTTGTTGAGCTTGGATTTATGACCTATTACGAAGGCGCTTGAGCAATAGATGACAAATTGTAAAATGAATTGTCCGGTACTTAGTTTGGGAAGTAATTGCAACCCCTTAGCCTGTTGCTTACTCACTGGATGTTCTGATGAAGGTTTTTATGGCCTCTGACTACCTTACTCAATCTGATTCCCTCTATGGCGCCTATCCAGGCGCAAGCATCCCCATCTGGGTGAAGTCACATTGGCATTATCACTTTGAGCTCATTCATGAGTCTAAACAGTATTTTACCGGTAAAGCACTGCTGTCCATTCTGGAATGTTTAAAGGCTGAAATCGTCGCAACAACACTCGCGTTGCCATTCTCGATCAACTGGTCCTGCAGCAGGAGTATCAATTTCGAGTTGTCGGCCATGTTACACGATACTCAAAACTTGTCGAATAGCCCTTCAGCCAATTCTACGATCTCCACATTCATTTCTAATTGACCGGTGCGCTTGAGTACGTGCATCTATTTGGTATATACGCTTCAATAATAATTCGCCAATAGACATGTGTGTCTTTGGAACGGACAAGATTCCTTTCTGGGTTGACTAATTGCGCCGCAAAGCCTGCGGAAAGATCCCGCAAAGATAATGATAACCGTAGATTGATTAAAACCTCTATCCAAAAGGTCTTGAGCATGTGGCTCGGTATAGCCGCCAATTTTTTTACAGATTCAATGTAATATGTGTCTCATCGTATGAACCTTCACCGATCCCTTAAAATGATTGTCAAGTGGCGTGGGGTGCAGCAGGTGGTGCTGACATTAAGTATTTGGAAGCAAGCCTTACGCGTGCTCCAATTTAGCTCTTGCTAGACCAATTCAGCCATTACATGTCGTCTATACCGCTCCGGTTTTATCATGGGTCGCGCACGATACCAAGCCGAATTCAATGGGCATATATGCGTGGTCGTACTAGAGACTTGCCGGCTTAGAGCAGCAAGGAAAAAATGCCTAGCCAATGACAGTAAACTTCGCGCCTCTTAGTGTACTCTCACTACTTCAAATTACAAATACTGATTTCATGCCGTTTGTAATCATCTTAAAAAACAATTCGTTACTGCACACAGCGACACCCCCCCTTTACCACAACTCATTTTGAGAAATACATGTCCTTCTCTGCCAAGTATACCCTTGGAGTTTGGTCGACTTTAAGCACTTTTGGATGTCATTTTGCCTCGCCCCGATTTTGGATTGTCGTATGTTACGATATGACGCCGCCAAGAGCTTGGGCGCCGTTTTGTCGAAGCGCGTTGTTACACGCCTGCATTGTTATGCCTAATGCAGCCACTTTAAGTGGCCACCTCGGAAGAAAACGACATACTGCTTGGTGAGCACTATGCATTGGTTGTTTCACATGGATAAGTGGAAAAGCACATATGTACACACGTGTGGATCGTGTCGACGTGTTAAGATCATAACGCATGCGACGACACCTTGAAGCGGAAGGCCATACCCTTACTTTGGTGGCAGTCCATAAGTATAGACGTTGGTTTGGTCTTAAAAAGAAGCATTTGGTGATACGTGCCCTGTGGTCTTTGTTGCTAGTCTCAAAAAGGTGGGAATTTTTCTGCTATCGGCTACGGTATGATTGGAAAAGACATAGCCACGCATTTCGCAAACCAATTTCTCAACATTGCTTGCCGGGACGCTGTTATTTGGCCCAAGCTCCACAGTTAAGTTCTGGCAGTTTTCGTTCAAAGTGCTCAGCACTAAATTTGGCATGTATACTGCTGACGACTGCCAGATGAAGTGTACTAAATGTGTTGTGGATGATATCCGCTGAGGTACTTGTGCAAAGAGACCGCGGTGCTGGAACGAGTTGCCTTCACTATTTAAATACGCTTTGCCCTTTTACATAAGTCTATGCTTATACAGGCTTTGTACTATTTGCATATGAAAATAACTAATGATCGGGTGCCTTCGACACCGTCACAAAGTTCAGATCTTGTTGGGGAGAGGCTGTCGTTCAATTTCAACTTGGCTGCATCAGCCCGGCCACACTTCGCACTAAAGAGTAGTGATTCCTTCTCAATGAGATCGAGCGCCACGCGGAGAGTGCGCTGCGCTATAGATGAAAGCCAGTACATACAAAACTAACACGCCGATGCCAGAGGTACAGGAATATGTGGCGAGTCAAAGGTTTGATAGCATGTCATTATCATCCATAGACATGCAGTGTCCATAGAATACAAGCCTCAAATGCAATTACACCACATCGGATCGCAAAAAAATAAGTTGGAATATGTTCTTATAGTTCCAAAGAAAAAGCGAATACATAATTTGTTCTACTTTAAATTTTTTGAAGCCATACCACGATCGTGTCTATACGTACAGTTGGGTGTGATGAGCTGTACTAAAGGTGGAGTAGTGGGTGCACCATCCATTTTCGCTGGGCTACCCTAGTTCTGAGCCACTGGGCGAACCGCACGTCACACTGGTCGGTGATACAATCATAGAGCGGTTCTAAAAATTACCACATCTCAGATTCAAATGCATGTCAAGCCCCTAAAGAGAGTTGACATGCTACCATAATCAAGAGAGGTCGCGAGAGTCAGCTGTGAGAAATGTTCTCAATATTTGATGAGGAAGATGTCGTCCAGTTTCGCGTGGATGTTTGGTGGACCGATGGATGTTCAGCAGCTATTATCGGTATCTAGTGATGTAGATGACAAGTCATCGTTCATAAACTTATGTATATTTGACCTTCGAAAAAAAGCTCTGTCGCCGTTGCCGCTCGCCGCGAAAAAGCCGCAGTGTAACCCTACGCAGCGCACGTTGCAACAGCGACGACTGAGCGTATTGTGTGATCAAAGCTGGTTGGCATCTGTAACAGCTGCTTAGTAGATACAAGATGGGATGTTAGCAGAAATGAATGGATGCGGTGGATTGTAATCTCTGCGATTGCGTTCTGCTTCGAACTTCGTTAAGGCTGGCATGAATAGACGCTCCGGGTGGCCACTCGCTTCGTCAAAGCTGGCATGAAATACCTTGAGACAAGTTTGATGGCGTGAAATCTTCAGCTAGCGCACTAAATGACATTGTACTTATGGTACTTTCGCCAGCTTCAAATAATTGAGATAAGTTTCTGATGAAGGGCACACGGTTTCCCAACCGTTGGTGCTTCAAGTGGGGCGGTATTTCTCTGGGATGCTGTGGAAAGTGCTCACGAAGCATCTCATAAACTCATGATGCTCTTGGTGTGGGGCCAAGACACGCACGTGCAGAGGTTACGTACCACCGCAGCGAGCAAATTCAGATGGTTTGAAACCGTAACCTCGGGGAGATGATTTGGGCAAAATGTTGCATGTCTCTTGTCATAGTATTTACAGCAAGCTTTACGGAAGGGTGTGCAACCCCTTTCATCGGTAGAAAAGCGCATGGAGCACGAAATTCGTGCAGCAAGAGGTGCTAAGCGAAAAGAAGAGAATGTGGTGCGCCGATATCAGATCGACCGTCTTCACTGGAAATAAGTGTCGGCACTTCGGACCAAAGAGCAAGCTCAAACATACCATCCGCAGTAACGCGCCAGGGAGATCAATGTTTGAGTCAAATAAGCTCATATTTTGTGCACATCCTACGGTATTTGCTGCATTTCAACAATTTTGTCGTGATAATCAGTTTCCTCCACTTTTATGCTGATGGTCCTGGCTTCGTCGAGTACTTTCAGCGTACACGTAGCGCAAGAAAGAGATTTATCAAACACATTCTTCGCAAGGTCACCAATGAAGTGCCAGCCGCCTGCCATCTTTAGCACCAGTCCCGCTTTTAATTTCGAATAGATACGCCTCGCCTTTCTTTAAAATCAGTGCTCGTAACCTTTTGAAAAATTTGCATAAGGCTTCAATTTTTCTTGTTTGATTCACCGATACGCGAGATGTGACACTAAGTAGCTTCGGGCTCTTGTTTATTGGCGATACTCTTATGCGGTTTTGATCGTCGTGTGGGGCTTCTTGACAAAATTACAAACTAAGTCCAGCTCTTCACCTCCTCCATTCATATGACATCAGCGAGAAGCCGCTTATCAGCAGCCAAAATTCTTTAATGCAAATCTGACCGTTATCGACTGTCACACCTGAAAGTAGTTATAGCTACGCCTTCTAGTAGCTGTGATTGTGAATGATATTTGTGCTTGGAGAAGTCAAGCTCGTGCTTGTATACGCAGTCCTGAATCAGTATCAGGTCCTATTAAAACCATGACAGATTTCGAGATAAAAAATAAAAATGCAAAAACGAGTGATCTGGCCGTTTGATCGTTAGAGCGTGGTGATTAAAACCCGTCAGAAGTTGGTTTGCAGCTTTGCGAACTAATGATGCGGAGCGTTCTGAGCTTTGTGCTTGCACTAGATCATCCCATTATAAGTGCCTCACACAAAAAGTTCTACTTGGGTATGTAAGAGGCTGACCGAGACAGCCCCAAACGTGGCACGCGCAATTGTGCTTATGGAGAAATTTTTGATAAGAATGCGGTAAAATAGCAAGTGAGTTTTGGTTCCAAAAGCTACATGATTAACATCCGTAGAGCTCTCAGAGGTTCTATGTATAAAACTTACACATAATTAAACATTTGAAGTTGATATAGAAAACCTCGTCTTCTGAGGTTGACCACAGGAAAACGTTGAGAAACTTGAGCTTGAAGTCTGAGTGGAAAGTTTCCCGCAAAAAAGACTGACTTGCGTGATTGACATCAGATGGAAGACAGCATCGGTCTCATCACCCACGCCGATTCCCAAGTAGGGACCATCATTCTTTCTTACTAGTAATGAATGTCATTTTTCCCTGATTAGTACAGAAAACATTCGTGGTATTTTCCAATGATGTCATACATGCAATCTGTCAAACTGTATTTTATTATTGTTTGTTCCCGAAAGAACGTCAACGGTGATGTGTCCACCTTCATGTTATAGCTAGGTAGGCCCAGTACTGGGCATTGTCCTCGAGTCAGTGACTCGCGCGTTGGGCGAAGGATGCTGCATCTGGTTGTTGCTGTTGTAGCGACGTTTAAGCGAGTGCAATTACGGTAGCTGGTCAAGACTAAGCGAACTCACTGTTTTGAAGCATCAAGGTCGAGACTCTTATGAAAACGGTAGCAAACGGCATTTTTTGCCATGCATACAATAAACAGAACTTGATTGAAAGCTACTTTTTTGCGCATCTGGGCACCTGGACCCATATCTGACAGAAAGAAGAGATATCATGGCGCGGACGTAAATTTTTATAGCTGGAATCAATTTATAGATCGTGTGAGTCCTCAGCTGATCAGTAGCCAGGGTGCAAATGGGACCCGTCTCCAAGTACGAGTCTGTGTTTGATTCTACGTTTGAAATGTCATTGATATATCTCGGTATCAGGAGGTCAAACTCTTTTGAGTAAAAATGAGACCATTAAGATGCTCATTTTCGTGCACTATAAGTACGAAAACTTCAATTGCGCAGAATACCGACAAGAATCTTGGTTTTCAATTAGTGTCTTACGACTTGACAGTTTCATGGCTCTTGCCGGACAGTGACGATAAAATGTTGGGGATGGGATCTTCACCAGAATCTACCAAATGCAGGTCACTATGCTTTACCTCTAGTACGTAAGATTGTGCTTGGTCGATGTAAGACACGATAATAAGCAGTCACCACCATCAGTGAACTGTCCCTCGATCGCTTCGATATCACAGGCAAGAGGCTTGGGGTCTTCGAGTGACGTGTTGTTGGCCGCTGGTCTACGCGTGGATAAAAGACAGCGTCATGAGCAAAAGGGAGCTGTGTAAAATTGCCGTTGAGCACGGGCGTAATAAGCAACAAATCCAAAGCGATAGAGACGCCGCTATTTGCACGCTAAGACCATTTGGGGCTCGTCACTCGGACCAAGGGTGAAGGTGATACAAAAGCCGGCGACGATGTTGGCGCAGCTGAAGGGCGAGAGTAAAAAAAAGAACCCGTGACTCCCCAAGTTAACCAAACACCCATCCCATTTATGTTTTTGCACTGTATGATTCTGACGGTTATGAGCAGACGTTTGTACCACGCTTGATACTCAGTGCAAAGCTTGAATTCTTTACTCGTGTGACGAGTGAAGGCATGGCATGTGACGACGAAGGAGCGGCTCAACAAGCAGCATAAACAGCAGAGAAATTAGCAAGTAAGTGGCGGTGGAGAGGGGTTTGTCTCAGATTTGGCTCGTATGATCACCGGCAAGATATTACTTATAGGCGTGGAGTACAAATCTTTTTTTAACATGATATCCTCCCTATGGCTTGGATTTGTAACGTTGGTAAGGAAAAAAATGCTGCAAGGTGTGATGTAAGTTAATTGAGTCAATAGTACACGTGCCCTTGTGAGATAGGGCGGGTCGCACAATCTTGTGCGACCGTACACAGGTGTGGATTACACAATTAGCGTGATAACACAGTGATATGGCTACACCGTAATAAGAAGCCACCACGTGGCAGAATTGCCAGTAGTAATGCTACACTATGTTAATTAGATTTTACTATATTAATTGCTATAACAATTCGGAAAGCCTAGGGTTTTAGATATTGCCGCAGCTAAAACAATCAAATACAGTAAACAGAAGTGTTCGTTTGCCTAAGTTAAGGTTTTTGTACTAAGAAATTGCGGATTGCGATCCGCTAAACTTGTTCTGGATTTGGAAAGAATGTAAAATCGGTGACCTTAACTTTGCTTTCTCTTAGCAAAGAGCTACGGCAGCCCCACTGAGCTAGTTCGAGCCCAAATTTTGACCTGTAAAATTTTTCTCCAATTTATAATACTATCTGGTCGGTATGTCTCAACGCCTCTGATATAATGGCTGTATGCTTTTTCGATAGGTTGATGATATACACACATAACCATCGCACCGCGAACGTGTCGTAAGACAGTCAGTCTGGTAGACAGGAAGTCATCGACTTCTTTACGGACTATGAGTGGGCTGACATCATGGGATGGCGGTGTATAGCCGATAGATGAACGCGCTGCATTGTTCAGCGCAAACTATACGAGTGGCAACATAGCGCTCCAGCGCCTCGGCGTCTCAGCGCAGACGCTGTGAGGAACGTCCTCGACGACGCGAATCACGCGCTCAGCCTGACCATCGGTCTGCGGTAGGTCCGCTGATGACATAGTCAACTTTGTGCCCAGCACCCTGAAGAGTGTAAATCAAAGCTTCCCAGTGAAGCGCGGGTCTATATCAGAGACAATTGACTCCGGGAGTCCATGTTGTCGAAATACACGATTGACAAACAGCGTCGCTGTACCCACACTGTCGATAGTACTGCAAGAGAGCCATCTTGCTCAAACGGTCGATGAAGACCACCGCACCCGTCTTGCCCACCGAGTGTTTTGGCAGGCCAAGCACAAAGTCCATAATCTTGGACTGCCAACACCCGGAGGGTTTCGATAAGCTGGCCAGCGGCGCTGCCGCATTCGGATAGGGTTTCACCCTCTGACACGTCTCACACGTACGCACATATGTGCTCGTCCACTTTTACAGCTTGAGCCACCAATAGTGGCAGCTCACCAAGCTGTACGTGTTCTCACGACCGAGATGATCACAAAGTGGGGTGTCGTGGGTCTCATAGAGGATACGGTATTTCAAAGTCTTATCATGAGGAACCAAAATTTGTGGCGTATTAGTTGAATCGGTGCTATAATACAGCAACCCGTTACCCAACCAAAATCGGAGTAACCGTGCGCGCAATCGCGCCGACAATTTTTCTTGTCCGAGTTTCCAAACCCCTAGCCCCAAGAGCCTGTAGCAGCGCTACACTCATACTGTCATCTGCGTATGCGGCGCGGATCGAATCTGCCACTGACGAAGTCACCGTCGTGACATGAGCAAGCTCATAGTCCGGTCTGCGTAACAACGCATCAGCCAAAGCATTCTGCTTTCCTGGCTTATACTTCACCTTGAAGTTATATTCTGCAAAGAAGGAGAGCCACCTGGTCATCCTCTGCCAGAGACGAGGCGACTGAGTTGCAGTGCGTAGTGATGCATGATCTGTGCAGTTCACAAACGGCTTTGAGCTAAGAAGGTGTACCTGAACTTGACAAGTGCATACTTCATCGCAAGTAATTCCTTTTCGTGAACTGGGTTGTTCCTCTCCGCAGCCTTAAGCTGGCGAGAGTCGATCGCGATCGCCCGATCCCGCCCCTCGGCGTCTGCTTGCAGCCGTTGACAGCCGATGGCAAAGTCCGAAGCGTCACAGACGACACTAAAGGGACGATCGAGGTCTGGCAACGCCAGTATTGGTACATGAAGGAGGCTGTCTTTGACCCTGTCAAAAGCCTATCAAAACTCGGTGTCCCAACATCATTTCGTATCCTTATTAAGAAGATTCGGCAATGGCCGTGCCATTCCGAATAATTCGCGCTATACTTGTGCACGTAGCTGGCGAGGCCGAGCTTCCTTTTGGTTCTTTGGAGCCGGCCAGTCCAGAATGGCCTGACCTTAGCGGATCCACTCGAAGGCCACGTTTACAATGAAGCACCTTGAAAAGGAAATTTCTTCCGCGCCAAAAATGCACTTATTGGCATTAGCATATAGCTTATTCGTGCGCATGCACTCGAGCACCGCTCTTCAATGGACGATGTGGTTCTCCTCATCTGTCCTCCCAGACCTCACACGGCTGTGGACAAAGATATCGTCGAAGTATGTCTGTGCATACGCCAGATGGGGCCGAAATAACTCTGTCACAAGACGATTAAATGTTTTTGGTGCATTTGACAGCCCTTGGGACATCACCAGCCACTCTCAGAGCATCCCGCTCGAAGTACTAAATATCACTCGCTCTCATGAGCAATTTGTAATAACCATCGACCAAGTCGAGCGCGCTGTACTTTGTACAGACAACCATATTGTTCCGAAAAATATCCTTTCCAGGTATTGGCAATAGAACCGTCATAGTGGCAGCGCTTAGCTTATCATAAGGGTGAACGATACGCCACTTGCCATTCGGCTTCCGGACACAAAATGTGGGTGTCGAATGGGGAGACTTGATTTCACACACCATTTCTGCCTCGTGCCTTGCACGGAACAAGGCGTCAACGACGTCACACTGCTCTTTATGCAGGGCCATTGGCGTGTTACGCAATATTTGATTCCTGGTACTAGGCCAATCTCATGACGCACACCTCGGTCCGAAGTTTGGACCGACGGCGGATCTTTGGAGACGACGTATTGAAATTACTTTACCAAAGAATAAGCCGAAGTATCCTTCAGGATCGACGATCAACTTCGTGCGCTCAGCACCCTCTTAGTGTTCTCCAAGACAGCTTCATCCAAAAACGACGACGAGTTAATTTCCTCGTTTGGTCTTATATTGAACACCTCGGCTAAATTGCCTGCCTTCAAGGCACCGCTAAAGTCTTCGAAGGTCATCTCGTCCAGCTCAAGAAGAGCATCTACTGTGGGAATAGCCTCGAGGGTGACGTCGCTGTTTTTTCTCTCTCGTCCTGCCGTTGGCAAGGTTATATAGCTGCCCGCTATCGTCTCCGGTAGACGCACCCTTGGCCAGGGTCGACGCCCTGCATAGTGCAGATAACATACGGCTTCACTGTCCCCTCTCAATAGAGGTTTTACGTCTCATCGAGACCAGTGGGAACACGCACTGGGTGCCGTCCAGTGTTCCCACTCCCTGCTCCATCGGAGCCTTGATATTTTTACAACACCCGACTAAGAGTTGCTATTTCCGCAGTCTTCGTCCAGTGGATAGCGTGCCACTCTTGGCATGCAGCGACTGTTCCAGTACTTGAGCAGCGCTCAGTGGGTTATGTTCCACTCCACGTTCGGTTCGCAAGTCACGCTCGGGGCCTTTGTTCAATACACCTTCGGTGTTTGACAACTCAGCTACTCCGATATCTAACACATTGACCGTCCTGGTCCAGTGCCCGCGCCAATAGCGTATCCACTTCCTAGTTGATTAATCACCAAAGTTCCACTAGGAGACGTACGCGTAGAGCCCAAGGTCTTCGACCTACAATCAACCCATGATTCATGGTGTATTAACCATGCCATGCCGAGGATAAGGTCATAGTTTGCATCCATGTACAAGACTAGACAGCGTTCTACGCTACTCAAGTCGCGAAACTTGACACCGAGGTCCTCAGAGACCCTCGGCACCGTGACACAGGCCCCATCACTAAACGAACAGTGAAGCTGTCACTCAATCGCGCTTCCAGCGCCTCAGCATACAGCTGGCTCAGCAGCTTGGGGCTAAACTTCCCATATAGTCTAGGCGGATAGGATAGCTGGCTTTCACCCAGCTGTGGGAACTATTCTCTTTCTCAACAGCTTGGAGCATTCCCTCCTCTTTCTCAGCATTGCTGAAATCCATTGCATCAGGCCCGCTCGACGAGCTCTCAGGGTGTGAATTTCAACCAAGTCGTGCCGACTTAAGAAATTCGGCAGTCAATGCCACGCTCACCGCTTCTTCAAAAGAAGACGGATCGACACTGAAGACTTCCATTTTGGCCACGCCAATGCGGAGGCCCTCCATTAGGACAGTCACTCTGACCGCCTCGGGAAGAGGATCTGCTGCCATCCTGGCAGTAAGAGTTCTCAACTCTTGGACAAAGTCCACCAACTCCTTATAGCCCTGTCGGACAGCAAGGAATCGCGATCTCACGCGATATGCCTGATTAGGCTGCGAGAACACTCGCAGAAGCTGACGCTTCAGCTCCTTCCACGGGAGAACACACCTTCAACTGAAGCACCGCACGTGAGTGTCCATTCTCACGCTCGGCCCCGCTAGCGCCACATGCTGTGCTCGTTTTAGAGTGTGGCGGATGTCATAGCCTCTCTCATCTAGAGTAGAATGTATCGCAGGAAAAACGCACTGTAATATTGAGAATCGAAACGTGAGCTTTAAATTTCAACATATCTCGGCCTATCTCATCTATTATCTAGAGTAGAAGATTCTTTCCATCCTTACCCTCAAAGGTCTTAACGTTACCATGAGCGGCTTGGCTCGAAAGGTATCATCTGTCGTCGACGGTGGCGTCATAGACGCTGTCGACACTGACAGCTCCTGCTGTTAGTGCTCTAACAGAGCATTTTCATATCTTGAAAACGCTTCTAGACGCTCGCTTATGGCTTCGGGCCCTTGTGCAACGAGGTGCTCCACGCCCTCTGAGCCCAGCAGAGACATCAGCTTATCAAGCCCATCTTGCATGCCCTGGGGCAAATAGGAGTATTCCTCCATCCTCACAGAGGATCGGTCGTAACGACTCAGGTGTAGATTGACTATGAGTGCTACCAAGTGCAGCGGGGCCTTTGCTTAGACAAAGCTAAGCTAAAGTCACCGACCTTACGTTCTTCCAAGGAACGTTTTCAGTTTTATGTTGGTGTAATGCGGGTGCGAATGCCTTAGCAGAGGAGGATTTTAAGCTGTGCACTTTGTTTCTCATGTCTCACCTGACAGATGCTGCACATAATTTGCTGTATGTCAACCACTTAACACGTGTGGGGGTAATACCGTCTAATAGCTTCGCTAACTCAATATAGTAACTGGCGACGGAATTTAGACTGGTTTGACAATATGAAAGAGGTGCGATCATGCCTCGTCTGTGTTTTGAAGATTAACATGGCACTCGAAATGTGGAATTTGATAGAAATATGGACCACAAAATTAAGTTAGTTACAGACAAGGTTTTGTTTTTTCGAAGAGTAACATACAGACGATTCGTTGCCATCGTTATAGCTACAGTTTAGAGTTCGGAAATAATGTCTGGTCGCCGGGAAAGCGATTGTACACCGTGCCTTTACTCGTAATACGTAGCATGCGTCCAGCATTATCAGACTCACGCATGCCAGCGGCGAAGGCATCCACAACAACCTTGACAGGTAAGAGACCACCCATCATCTTAGTGTATTCTGGAGCATCCTTGTCGGCCGAGCGACCCATTTCTGTCTCGGCAAAAGCCGGACACATTCCGAAGCAGCGGATATTATCCGACTTCTTAAGCTGATAAAGCGAACGGGTGAAACCCGTGACACCAGCCTTGGCCGCCGCATATACGGGTGAAAACGGCACGGGGAAGAGAGAAGCCATACTGCTAAGATTCACAATTACACCTTCCTCGCCATTAAGTGTGCGCTTGAACTCACCGATTGCAAATTGGGTACCTCGAATGAGTGCAGTTAGATCGATGTTAATAACATTCTCCCAGGTGGTACTTTTGGAGTCATAGAATGTCAAATCTCCGGCAATACCAGCATTGTTTACTAGAACGTTTACAGGCGTTCTAAAGTGATTGCTGGCGTATTCAAAAGCACGCGGAAAACTGTCTTTCGCAGTTACGTCCTGACAGTCCCAGCACACGTTCTTCTCGCCGTGCTTGCGACGCAGTTCCTTCCCCGTGGCTTCCAGCTCGTACAGATTGATATCTGTTATCATGACTTTTCCATGGCAGGCCAGAATTTCTTCCGCAAAGGCACGGCCAAAGCCGCGGCCGCCGCCCGTTACAATCGCAACAACCTTTCGGAATTCCATTGAGATAAAAAAATGTTGAGAGCTCACAGATTTAACACAACAGACTCCTGGTTATCAAATCTCACAATTCTTAAACCAATAATTCGGCGTAATATTTAATGCTGGTATCACGTCATTTTGAAAAATAATTTGTAGTACTCATTTGCAAGGTTGCCTGTCATTTCAACGCTCTGACTGCATACTACCGCCCATCCAAAAATACAAGACCTTTAAGACTGCGTAACCAAGGGTATCATTCAGTTACTAATTGCCTTTATCTGACTGTGTGTGTTGCACTTCATATTCAACAAGTACTATAGCGACATCGAAATCAAACAAAAAAGTATTTTTTACTGTTCCAGTTTCAAGCTGCAGTTACATGTACCATCGAAGTGACCATGACATTGCAATTTCACCTTGCGGATCAAATATGCATGTAAGCGCAAGTCAAATATAATAAACTAAAAAGGCATCCTTACTGCCGCATCTTCGCGATAAATAGAGATGCATTCTGACTTTGCTGACCATTATTTCCTGTCGAATTCTCTACGACGCCCAGAAAAGTTTAAGCTTCTACGTCTTGCTGCCTATCCACCAGCGCTCGTGCCACCTTGATCGCCAGCATATATCAAGATGCAATAATGGTAACAATGTGGTTAAAAATCGGCAAAAGGATCCTTGCCGTTATAGACTGGGACAATTGCATCGTCCATCGAATCTGGATAAGGATCAAAATTAGAAGTGTCATTGGCCGTACCGACGCGTGGAATAATCGGAGCGGCACCCTTGCGAGCTAGCAGTTCCTCCCAATTCACACCAGAAAAAAACTTGTGCTTCTTTATATCCTCAACGCCGTTCTTAAGACAACCATACCGCTTTGTGAGATCAGCTGTAAGCATTCGCTTGATCAAACCCTTTGCATTTCGGTCAAAAAAACGTGGAAAATTCAGCTTTCCCGAAAGTATTTGCTGGTAAATGCCCATGGGGTCGTCATCGCAAAATGGCGGCTGTCCTGCAAGCATTTCATAAAGCAATATACCCAAAGTCCACCAATCCACTCCTTTGCCGTGTCCTTTGTTCAGTAATACCTCAGGTGCGATATACTCTGGTGTGCCGCAGAGTGTGTACGTCTTAAACGCCACTCGCTTGGCAAAGCCAAAATCGGTGATCTTTATGTAGCCTTCACTATCAAGTAGTAAATTTTCGGGCTTCAAATCGCGATAGATGAAATCCTGATTGTGCATGTATTCAAAAATGGCTACCACCTGTGCTGCATAAAATTTGGCCGCATTATTGTCGAACCGTCCAGCCTTTCGAAGGTGTGTGAAGAACTCGCCCCCAATGACGTACTCGAGCACCATATATAAAAATTTGGTATCCTGGTATGTGCCTGCCAAGTTGACAATAAACGGATGATCCAGACATAACAAGATGGACTTTTCCGAAAGCATGTGCTCGACCTGCTGCAGTCGAATTATTTCAGCCTTCTTCAAGATTTTAATCGCCCAGTATGTGTTGCTCGCCTGCAAAGACAAAGCCACTACATCTTCAGTCGCTCGAGTCAACTCCAATCGATCACTACACACAACTTACTCTGTGCGTCGCAAAGCGTACGCGGCCAAACGAACCGGTACCTAATGTCACACCCATTTCAAATTGTGATCCATCAAGCGGAGTTGCGAACTTGTGCGAGGTCTTAACAGCGTTTGAAGTGGCCATCTGAGCTAAGATTGTCTACTTTCAACGCCAATGCTCAGCGAAAGTAAATGCGTCGATCCCTTGCGCTGGTGGGGTGTCTGTGTATGGCGAAACCTTCGGTATGGCGAAACCCCAGCGACCTTGTCACTTGTGTCTTTTTTTGGCGATGGGGTTTGTCGGTGGTTATTTGCTGCGTTAAGTATTTTTGTTTAGCGATCGCAACCCGACGCTCCGTTTCCGTCCTCCACCTCTCAACTAGCACGCAAGGTTTAACAATAGTACAGCAATTGTGTACGGCTTACGGCTGGTCGGACCTCAATTTAACCGTCATACACGCGAAAAGCCGCAAGCTAAATTACAGAAAGAAATATTCGTCGTGTGCATCAAGGTAAAATAGACTTTTATATTAGTCCATCACTTAATATTTCTGGTGTCGTAAAATTCGACTGAAGCTTTGTGGATATATGGAGGGGAAAGGCTAAGTCTGATATTATAAAGTTTGAAGTTAACGTTGTGTGGCCCACATATCTATCGGCGAACAAAAACGGGTCAAGAAGTTCCTTGTCCGACAGTCAATTCGCCGCAATGATAAGGCCGTCCGCGGCAGTTGTTCGACTCCAGCGGCGACAGCGGTATATCGTTATCTTGTTTATCATCGCATTTATCAGTTTATACTGTTTGGTACACTCAGCAAAAATAAACTCTGAAATACCAGCGCCGGTTGCGCCCGAGAGCGTCGTAGAAGCTGGAGAAGGAGCGTTTGTTACTATCATGTATGACTTTGGCGAGGACAGCGAGGCATTATTGCTGGCTACACGAGTCTTGATGCGAAGTATCAAAGATTCTAACACTATATACCGAAGGATGGTGGTTGTACCGCAAGATGGTCTGCAAGAGAGTAGCGAGCAAGTTCTTAAGGGGGACGACTCGGACTTGGAGATCGTGCACGCAAACATTCCAAACGTATTCGCTCACATGCCGCTGACTGATCATCGTACGCAACTTCTGCACATGCGCAATAAACTTGTAATTTGGGACAACCCAGAGATCTCATCACTCAAGCGTGTGGTCTACCTAGACCCAGAGAACCTAGTGTTGCGAAATTTGGACGAAATCTTTGCTTGCCATCAGTTCTGCGCCGTAGATAATGGTCAATCAGTCGTATATTCAAATGGTCTTCTTGTCATCTCCCCCGATAGTATTGCAGCAAGAAACTTATACTCGGATGCCATTGACAGTTTTATGATCACTGGCCGCGAGTACAATTACGTTGGCATCATTCAGGGCTTCATGCCCGGCCTTTTTGAGGCTTTTGAAGAGAGCCCATTGTTTTTTTTAGGATGGGATGGAGATGACAACGGAGAGGAAAACAATGGTGCAGATAATGGCGATGCAACAGAAGATGTTGATACGTCAGTCGTCCACCGCCTGCCATTCTATTACAGCATTAACCACATGGTCTTTTACGAACGCATGAACTGGGATTTGTATAAATGTAAAGACAAAAATTTGGCCACAGGAAAGATCCCCGGTCCTTTGTTGAGCTATAAGTACAGTGGAGGTACAGTAAAGCCGTGGTTTTGGCTGCCGTACGTATACTTTCAGGTGTTCTGGCATTGGCAGGAGGTGCGGGAACGGCTTGAAGAGGACCATGTCGGTTTCTTCTTGGGCAAATTAATGTCTTTCTTTGTCATCTTCGTCTTTATCTGGTTCGCGTACATTTCTCTTTGTCTCAAACTTTTTACCGAGTCAAATGGACGACCGCGCCGCTTGTCAAGCTGGAGGCTTCCAACTTCTGGCAATGGACAATCGCTTTCCATTGACGTTTTTAATTCGCGTGTGGTGCGTCGAGCTTGTCAATTTTCGTGCAGTGCACTATATGCCATTGCATCGATGCCGCTGTTGTCAAGTGTATGCATTGTCATCCTGATCATGTACTGTAGCATTCACATGATTCCGGTTACGATGCAACCTTCTTATGCAGGAAGATTGTGGTTGATTGTGCACGATTTATGGTTAACGACGCTGCTACTGATATTTGCGGTTGCACATACATTACGTACCGCACAATGGAAAAAAGACGACGTGCCTGCGACCTCCGAAATGTTACTCAGTGGTATTTGGTGGTGCATCAAGAAGCTGCCATTGCTGGTGCTCGCGCAGCTTCAATTTTTGTACATAATTGGTCGCACTGATTGGTTTCAAAATCCGGTGTTGCGGCCTGTGATGACTTGTTTCTTCTTCGCTGTTGCTCTTTTCGTGGAAGGTCGGATTCTCATTGTCGAAATGCGCCGGCTTACACGGAACTAACTGACGCCATTGGTGCTTTACGTAACCAAGAATTACCTTGTATACATGGGATGTGCCACTCTAGACAAAAGAGACACCTGCCAATTATCAGCTAGTAGCAGCTAGACACGCAGAGACGTAGGGACGAGCGGAACGTATGAAACGACGCCGAAAATCAATAGAATTGGATATTAAATCACACTTATTAGTAGTCCGAGCGGCGCTTTTTCTACGACATAGCACATAAATTTACATACATTCGTCAGCGACTGCTAGAAACATTGGTGCTTTCTGCTTTCTCTACACACCTGACTGACCTGGAGTTCCTGAGTTGACAAAGGCTGCTTGCCGCCAGTGTATGTACGTTCTTGACACGATCCATTACTATCTGCAGCGACTATACGTAAATCCTTTACGACTGCAGCTAACGCTTCCGGGTTGACACCTTTTTGAATAAGCGCCATGAGAATCGCTAGAGTGTCGCGATCAAGACCAGTGTTGAGCAGGCAAGCGAGCTCATAAACGGCTGCACAAATACAAAATTAGAGAAAGATAGTGAAAGAGGATAATGATGAAGTCGAATAAGGAAGAAAGACGCCTTACTCTCCATAACTTCCGCGCGCGATGCGGTGATTCCGTCGCTCATAGTAAATAGAAGAATAGAGAAGAACAATAAATGCCATGAATGAAATAATGTAATTACAGATTACAGATTAGACGTCGCCAGCCTCGTTTATATCGAAATTATGACAGCTAGTCAGGGCAAAAAGAGAATCTTCGATGTAGATCAAAGATTGATCAATCGCTATTGAAATTAACATAGAGTGCCCATTAAGAGCACTGCCCGTTAACTAAGAATGGTGATGCTTGTTTTGGGTCTCCAAGACGCCCTATCGACCCGAAACATAGAAATGGAGGCGATATATCAAGACACTGATAGGCGCCTTTCTTCTCAAGCGTTCATTGATCGAAGGTGGCGAGAACAGTATCATTAAGCTTTGACCGAAGGATACACTTTCTTTGAAGCATTTGCTCTGACTATTGACTCACCATCATGTGGATTGAGAAACGAGTCACTCAAAAGTGGCTGAAAGTCTTTTTCCTATCTAGTCTCGTGGTTGTAACTTCGCGCGATGCCGGTGCTACCATTTACAGCAGCGTGTGCAGATGTCTTGCCAATACGTGGATCCAATCCTTGGTACGCTCTCGAAGCAAGATAATTTGCAGCCACACTGTGGTATGTTGTAAGCTCTGTTCGCTCATTTTTTACTTGCAGTGCTTCAGGCTCTCTAGACATGGTAAGAGCACATGTTGTTTCGCTGTAGTTGACCGTCGAGTGCGTAGCTGTTGTGTATGACCCTGACAAAAGAGAGAAGAATGGCTTGTCATTATCCTCATCATCGATTGTCGCTTGCTCCACGCTATGAATAGACTTATTCAACGCAGGTATGACCTCATTAAAATCGGTTTTAGTCTCTCCACTCCACTCCTCGGATGGTGATAAAGCAACTTGAAGCTCATGTGGTGTCACGATAGGCTTATAGTACTCCTTACTATCCATAAGAGTATTCTGTTGGCACGCTACGAGTACAAAAGCATCGATTTCAGCGTAGTTTGCGAGTTTAGGCACATTCACCTTTCCTACTACGAAGAGATACGATTTTCGCCCTCTCCTACAAAATACGTCAATATTCAACAACTCCAAACGCCAACAATATGAGTCACATACATTTTGATCAGCTTCTGGAGCCCATGCACCACGTCGAGATACTTACTGACACCAAGAGTGCCCATTAAAATACCGAAAACTTGTGCTTCTTTGGCTTGTTGGATGAGATAAAACCTGTAGCAAAAGCATTACATCACTAGAAATTTCGAGAAATTTCATCGTCACCACAGCATACCGTCTCATGAGTGCACGGTTGACACTGGCGCCTTCCTTGCGGCTAGACGTCGTTTCCGGAGAGTACGAGAAGCAGTCTATCGTGCTGTAGCGCATCAAAATGCTGGTGAGGTGTGCCGATTCTGCTCCCACGTAGAGAAATGCTAAAGTTTGTGGGGAAATTTCAGCATTTTCCGCATCCAACACAATTTCCTGCCCACCAATTGTAAGCACTAAGGATGAGCTTTCGCTAGACTTTGGTGCAGCATTTTGCACTGCTGTAGGATCGTAGAATGTCTTCATAAATCCAATGACTAATTTTCGTTCGACGAATTTCTCTTTCAAACTGTTGAAGATGTTGCTGCTAGCATGGTGATAGCGAGCTTCATACAACAAAACAAGTGTCTTTGTTGCATCTATTTGAGCAATGTGGTCGCACAGCTGCTGTACACAATCATTAACATCGATTACAGCATTGCCAAAAACGTAAACTACTGGAATTTTGGTCGTTGCGCTCAGGCATGTGCGCCCGTAGTGTACAATGCAGTCGGCCTCAAGGTGTTGTGCAGCAACCTCATCCACGCAGCAACTGCCATACGAGGTATCGCCAAGTACGAAAATACGCTCCCACTGTCCATTCAAATCGTTCTTTAGCTCCTGCTGCACCTGCGGTGCATCCGGAAGAAGCGAATCTGGAAACTGTAGCGCAATTTTCTTATAACCACCGATTTGAATCTGCTTTACCGTGCGAGCAATATCATAATAAGTGTAGAGGTCGCAGTCTTTTCCACGCACAACGTCAGTTTCCTGTACTTGCACCTGCATCTCGATGGCACGCGAGCCATCATCGCTTTCGAAAGCCAAGGCCACTGTCATTGATTAAAGCTTTAAATTTCAATTTTAAATGGGAAATAGACATTAGTAGATTCACAAAAATGAACTGTGGCGATAATTTTTAGGTAGGGTGTTCACTTCCTAAACGTTGGACGATGTTACCGTCTTAGTCGTCGTGCGCTGACGTAGAGAAGTGTTGGTATTGTCATCAAGTGAGTCCACTAACTTCTTAAGCTCTTTGTCTTTCATGTACTCGCGCTTTATCAGCTTGCCCATAGTGTCGCCAGCCTTGATACCCTCACCTGCTTCCTTTAACATTTCCTTGAGAACCTGGCGGCCGTACCCTTCGCCTGTCACAGGGCCACTGCTACCGAATCCGACGGCTAGCGTCAACTTCATTTTGGGAAGTGACAAGACCACCTCGCGCTCATCAATGGAGGACACTGTGGCGCCTTCGGCCAGGTCTTCAGTCACACTGCCATAGTACAAGGCTAGCTGACGGGCTCCATCGAAGCACTCCTCGTTTACAAAAGTTATGAGATTTGTACGAGCCTCGGCATCCAAATAAGGCAGAAATGAGTTGTTCTTTTGGTTTAGGTACAGCGTGAGCAACAAAAATGTGTTGGTTATCTGAAGCATCAGCGAGCTCATTGTACTCGATGGAAACCTGTTAAAAGCATACTCGTTATTAAGCAATGCTGCCATCTTGAGCAGTAAGGGCAGGTCGGAGCACCAAAGCAGATACGGCAGCGTCGGATAATACCACGAATAAAACTGATAGTGCAGTGTGCGTGAGAAGACAATACCCGTGAAATTCATCACAAACAAAGACGTCACGACAATTTCGCTTTGAATTGGAAATGGCTCGTAAATTGCAAACGGCTTCATCATAACGGCACGAATTGTGCCGATAATGTTAAAGTGCTTGTCAAGAAACAGAATCATGAAAAACAGGTGACTCAGCAGCAAGAGGATTGCAAACCCACCCGATACGAATGTCTCTTCATCCACAAACTTCCAGTTCACTGTCCACTTATACGTAAATACACGACTGAGTTCGAAAGCCTTGCTTACGTAGCTCCACCAGTTGTGTTTTAAAAACGGGTAGGCCAGCACAATCTGAATCATTGCGCAGACGAATAGATACCATGCTGTACGTAATATACCGCACGACTGTAACAATAGGAAGAACAATGCCGGTGCAAACAGCAAGACATTCATCTTGATGGACACAGCGAGACTAAAAAAGACACAGCCCCATCGCCAGCGCTGGCGAGCAAACAAGTATACGGCAATAAATAGAAGCATCATTGCTACGCCATCATTAAACAAACGCAGCAAAAAGATTGAATGTAATCGCTTGGAGATACACAAGAAGACGGTGGCCCAAGGCGGCAGCACTCGGGCGCGATAGTAGATGGCGAGTACTGTAGCGATCATGATGAGGTAAAATCCCAGGAAAATATACTGCGCACGTCTAATATTTTGACCTTCATCTGTCACCGAGTGCAGAAGTGAAAAGACGTAGAGGAAGCCAGCGGGGTAGACAAGCGGTCCAGTGTCGCCGCTGATTTGCATATAGTCGCGCTCTCCAGCTTTAAACAGCTCCACCTGTTGCATGTATGCGGACCAATCGATATTTGTATCTGCATGCATTCGTACGCATTAGTTGACATGAAAACAATAAGTATTTAAGACGTACATGGAACTTTCTGAATTATAATGTAGCCAGCGCATGCCTCGACGATCAGCAGGCAACAGGCCAGCTGCGGAAAGTAGCGGTAGCTCCACATGAGGTCATATAAGAAGGCTAGCACACGGCTATGCATGAGCGTTGTCTTGACATCCTTGTCAATGCGCGTTGTGCGCTTTGTTGTGGTCGTTGACGTCTTCTTGCGCGCCATGAATTGGCAAGATTTTATGCTCAAACCACGTCACTATACATTTTTTATAGCCAATGACAGTTTCTCATAAAATATAAATCTTGCGTCATACTTAAGTATCAGGTTTCGAGTAGAGGATCCCCTGCTCCAGGGCCGCACTGGGACCCCTGGTAGGTGAACTTTACGGTCAACCACTGCGCCAGAAAGTTATTTCCTCCCTGCTTTGCGCGAGCTCTCGCGAGTACCTTCCACTTTAGAAGCCGCCCCCCCTTGATTGCTCAATGTAGCGTATCCCTCCGAGGAAGGCGCGGCCCTTGGCTAGACTCAGTGATGACATTTAGGTATTCTCGGACTTGTTTGTTTTGCTCAGAGGCATCGCCTGCGCCTAGACTAGCAATGGTTGTTTAAATCCGTACCCTTGTTTAACACCGTACCTCTGGTATCAAGCGCTTGCGGAAGTGCTGAAGGGTACTGCCAAATTCGCGCACTAGGTGGGGAGGCATCTGGCCTCGCCTATCTCTATCACTGTGGCTTTCCATGCCAAATTCATCAAAGCAGTTGTCAGATTTCCACAGTCAAGCAGCAAGTGGAACGCCATGTGATTTCAACTTGCAGAGTATAGCACATGACGTTGATCCCGCGGTAGATGGTCGTCAACTCAATTTCTTGCTGTCTACAGCCTTGTTTAGCTAGATGATTGTACTAATACAGCTATCAGCCGAGTCATGAACTAAGAACAAGTCATAATTCCCAAAGCTCGTTGCGCTGTGCGACCCTGTGTTCCAATGACTAATGACGACAGATGGTGCGCCAAGTCATAAGTGTATTAAGTCAATCTTGCCGATGTGGGGTCTCAAATCCCCAAAAGATCTGGGTGAGAGTATTCATTCCATATCACCAAATTAGGTTACAGTCTTAGCGGACTCGCCGGTTCAAATTCCGTCCCAAGCTAAATGAGGTCAAACCCTGGCACATCGATATATGCCAGCGTCTGACTACTCGGCTCTCATGAGTTGTCTAGGTTATGGCAGTCGTTCCTTTAGAAATTTTGGCATGCGGCTGGTGCTGACGTGAGCCTTTTCGATGCATTCATTAAGCTACGCCATCGTACAAAGCGTTGTGTGGCTCCCCAACCTGTACATATTCATATTGCTGCCTGGGATCAGAGGAAAACTTAAAAATTGATGATGGTTTGAATCACTTTTTCGTTTCGCATTCGAATGAGTGATCTGAGCGGAAGTGCGGTATGGTTGTAATGAGCCAACCTAGAAAAAAGGTTGTCTCGCGTTCTCTTCGTGATGATTACTGAAATTGAATCTCTGCTGATTTCAACCGCAAGCAGCACAGTGCTTCTGGACTGCAGACACAGCATGTGAAGGTATATAAAAACGCTAAATTAATTAGATTAGCCGCTTATTTTTGCGTTTTTTTGTCTGACACTAGTACCTATATGTTGCTCTTGCACCTACAGGCTCTAAATTATAGCGTCGCAAACTAAGCGCACGTGACTCAATCTTGTCGAGATGAAAATCCTCCGTCGAAAAAAATGGGATAAAGCTTGTCGTGGTTTGTTATGTGTTGTCCAGCGTAAATTCAATAAGTAGACTTTCTTGTTCCCGTACCACGGTCACTTCGAGCAAGTAGTTCTGAAAAATTTCCTACACCGCAGAATTATTTGTTCCATATGCCCATCTGCCTGTAGTTAGTTAGTGGAGGGTATGTTTGTTTTGGAATCGAAAATCTTAGACAACGTTCGCCAAAATTTGCTGAAAATCGCGGATCTTGATCCAATACAACGGCTATCGGCAATCCATGTTGACACAGCTTTCGTCTCGGCTATATCTTTTACGGTTACTGTGTTGCTGACATCTAGATGGGGCATCTTGTTCAGATCTAACGATATTCTGCTCATTGAGTGCCAACTTTTTGCCGAAACCCGGCTCGTCTCACTCGTGAGCTCATAAGTGTACTGTAACGGAGTTACACGAACCCTTATAACAGGGGTGTGTGCGTGTCACACGAGATGTGCATAATGTGACCACACCCAACAAAAGTACGGTACGGGGCTAGGTAGCCAGTAGTTATGCATGTATTTAAATGTTACTATATATATTTAGTATATTTAGGAAAATCTAAACTTTTAACATTAGGATGAAAATATAAATACAAATCAGTTTCGATTTTGAACAGAAGTGTTCGTATGCCTTGGTTAAGGCTTCTAAGTACCTTTAAAGGCAACGGATCGTTATCCGCTGCACTAGTACTTGGTTCTTGTAAAGAACGAGAGGTCGGTGACTTAAAGACGCTTCCTCAAGCGCAAAGCTACGGCAGCCCCGCTGCATGTACACCCATTTGAACATATAAGGCTACCAGTACAAATTCTTTTCCAAATTGACCACCAATGAGCAATTGTGTACCTCAAACAATTTTTCAGCAGTTGAGGTAATGCATGTGAGGTACAATTACACTTTAAGAGTCAAATGGGTCTGTGCTTTTGCACCGCAAGCCTAGGGATAGGAAAAAGCGGTGCAGATATGTAACCAAACGCCTAAACGTATTTGAGCTCAATTACCTTCTACTCCCAGATCCTTCAACAGTGTGTCAAACGCGTATACCGCAGGTATTGGCTCTTTGATGCGTGACATCGCCATCGTGGTAATGACAGCTCATATTCCAGGCAACACAAAGAGAACATTTACTACCACAGTAAATAGGCTTAGTTTATACCTTGCATAGTAGGTATGATCATCAAAGACTGATAAGCATCTTGTCAATCTTTGCGAGAGAGATGAGATAGCGACGTCGCTAAGCTCAATGGTGCATGGTCTTTATCAATCGCAAATGTCTCGTCGCCGAGTAAATATATCCGATATTAACACAGCATACTAACAGCAAGCAGATACTTGTCATGTAACAAAGCTATTGTTTCTGTCGCTTCAATCTCGCAAATATCAGACGCTAGGACAAATTCAAGTCCATCGGTATTTCCGTGGAACACGTAAGAGTGTTAAGAAGATAGAAGCGTCCCATCCAACGACAACTTGCCAATATGAATCTGATAGGATTTCGGTGCTGTCATGAGGCTTTCTTTTAAACCTTTAATTCTTCGATCGCTTCTCAACCCATTTAATGTCCCTTCAAAATGATTGATGAGTGGGCGTGCTATATCGGCGAAATTTGCGCTGCATTTTTTTTTGCACGTAGTAGGCCAAACCAAGCTGCATTTTCAGACGAGAGGTACCAGCAGAATTAATAAATGAAATTTCATCGGTGTTAAAGCTTGAGCTTACCTATGATGACGAAAAGGTTGTTCAAGCGTATGTACTTGATCACTTCTCTCAAGTATGTCCACACATGCTTTGTAATTTACAGACGTTCTAATTGTCGAATGATTTAAATATTAGGCATGATGTGTCCAAAACAGTCGCGTCATCAAATATATAAATGACGCTAATGTCCATCCCATTCCCAGCCATTCCCAGATTATCCCGCTCTGAGACCTTAAAGAGGGGATCTTGCCGTATCTCAGGAGCTGTTGATAATCTACGTCATCTAGATTTAATACATATCAGAAGCAGCCAATTATGAATTTAAAGCACTCCTTTTTAGGATCGGCTGATTTTAAAATGAAGACTGCATTCAGCTAGCCGACAGGATTTACCACTTACTTCTAGCCGTCTGACAGAAAAGGAGGCACCGATTGGAGAAAAATTATTGCTTACACTTATCTGCTTTGGTTTTGGTACGGAAGCGTGCGCCTCTGACATCACACTGATTCCATGATATGGGCGATTGTCTTGTCACGAGGTATTTGGCTATGGAACTCAGACATTTCCATATTTACTCTCATCCAGGAGTACCATGCACGGCAAGTCACCTGTTAACACGAGGGTATACTTCGTTGCGCAAGGATAAAGAGATCCGTTAGGTTCTTAAGGGCTACCGTTCCTTTTTTCTTTCACACTTCGTGCTCTGCAAGTGCTCCAAATATGAATATCTACTTGAAGTGTGACGAGATCAGCTTGTGCTTCAGTGATAATCGTATCATTTCAAATAATTTACCGTCTTAGAGCTCTTTGCACCCAGGCATAAATTCTAAGCGCATTGTGACCTTGTGTTGCGGTAACCCAGGGTGATTTGTATTTCCTAGACTACATGGTCACCAAAATCCCGTGTAAATTATCTTTTCCGCCAGAAATCCAAAAAGTGTAACTGCTCCAAACGGCAGGCGCATTGTGACATGATGGACAAGTCTACACAAATGCAAGCAAGAATCTTCTATTTGCAACACACAATCGCTCGTACTTGTTTCTAACAGCTCTTGCTTAGGAAGACCAGCGCTTATGGCTGTGACTTGACATCTTGTAAAGATTCACTCACGGGACTGCGACATACAGTCAATAACTCCTAGCTTACTAGACATACGTCAAAAGACTGATGTATACGATTGCTACTTGTCAACTCGATGTAAGACCATAACTCCCTGCCGTTTTTGTATTTTGATCTTTGCCAAAGGCAGTGAGTAACATCGTTGCCAACCAACTCAGACAATCCCATGTTCTGATCATAATCTATTTTGACTTCATGTTCAAAATTCTGCTTCTGATGTAGGTGGGTTGATGTATCAAATCCAGCGAATCAGTTTATGAAGATCTCGTTCATCCGTAAGGAGAAACGATCACCTGGATAAGCAAGTCAAACGCGGGGTTGCGACCTACATTCGAATTTTATAATCTGAGAGTACATGAAGCTGACGGCCGCGCTTCCATACTTTTCGATGACGTTGATCTTAGCAAGCGCCGCCTCACTGACGAAAACATACATACCCTCAAAGGTTGCATTGTCAAACGATGCGATGTCTCATCTGATAGCTTCATATCTACGCAGACTATTTAGCCCATTGGTGCCTCCATATGTACAAAACCTAAAAAGCGCTAAAAGTTTCAAAGAAAGTTAAGAATAGGCATATGCTGGTTCTTGTTTTGGTCCTAGGAGGAATAACACGTATTGTTTTCGGCTCAAGCACAGTATCGAGATAACATTCGACGCAAATCAGCATCATAGGATGCGCCTAGTGCAGCTCTGTCAACTCAGTAGATGGGTATTGCCAATTGCTCTTGAGAATTGAAAAGATTTCCTCGCTTCAATGGGGACTCCAAGTGGTTATGTATCGCGAAGGTTGGTTGACACACCTCGACGGTCAAGTAATGCTCTCATCGTGCATATGTAAAGACCTATATTGTCGATATCGTCAGTGGTCGAGCATATTTGGTGGTTGTGAGCTGTACTCAAGACTATACGGCATGTTGTTAATAAATGAAGATCATGTTATTTTGGGGCTGACGAAATTCTATGTTTGGTATTTATTCTTGAAAAGCATAGTAATCAAAAATAGAGTACCCAGAACAAAGGCCTTTATTGATTGTCCAAAGCTACAAACCCACATGGATTTGTCAAAAGTGGCAAAGTCTGACCAACTACTTAGTGGAAATAATGCCGACGGGGTACATATGTAAGAGGGCGCTGTTCACAACAATCCCTCAACCAAAACGCACACGCTCGAGCGACGAGAAGGACAGTGTTGACTTATTAGAGAAGAGAACGGCCTGAGGCCTTAAAGGCAAATTTGTATCTGTATTAAATAAGTATATCGTTCCTGAAGCGAATGCAAAACACCCCAAGAGCTTCTGTGGGTCTACTGAAGAACCTTGGGTTCCTACAATCCTGATTTGTTCAATAAAAGGTATACTAAAGATGTTCCTCGTCTTGAACTTATAGGACCTCAAAGAGCTTGAAATTAAATTATGTAAAAAAGATCCAGTAGAAGTGACTAGCTTATGTCACCCACTTCAATCGACCGAGACACATTAAGTTCGTTCATGTACAAACGCAAGAAGTAACCAGCATTCTGCATGTCAAAGTCATATAAAATGTCACATATGCATTTGAAAAGACCATCCCTGCAAATCTTTTTTATGAATCCCCTCCATGCGTAAAAATGTACATAGATGCACCTTCATGCAGCCCATAACAAAGTCTGCTCGATATTCTTATAAGAACAAAAAAGGAAGTAATGGGCTCTTAACAAACCTCATGTGTACACGTATTCTAACTCTCTCAGATCCAGGAAGGCCATTTGACGTCATCTCTAACATTCAGCACTGTTCTCAAATAGACTGAGCGTCACGTGCCTGAATTTCAGGACATACAAAAGCAGCACGCAAATTTCAAAATCAAAAGGAAGCATAACAAATAAATTACGGGCGATACTCGTGTTGCATATAGCTTGCTTATACATGCAACACGAGTATTTCCCGTAATCACATTGATATTTCGATTTTATAAGCCGAACGGACGTGGAGCGTAAAGTTGGAGACGGCATAATATCTCTACTGACCCCTGTATGCTTGACTGCATTTTTGCTTCAAAGCTGTGATTCGTCTTCGAGCCTCTTGAAGTATTCTAAGCAGAACGATATTATCACAATTGCGCTTTCACTTATTTGCAGTCGTAGCCATGAAAAGTTAAGCAACCTCCAAAAGTGATGCCAAACTGTATGTGCCACTAATGAGTATAAAGATGATGTACGATTTCAACTGACACCTGCAGCTTGACCTGCATTGTTTACAAAGCTGCAAGTCACTTTTCCTGGTGGTTAAAATACCTAGCAAAAGGATTTGATCGTATTTGCCTTTGGAAAGAGCGTAAAGTGCTTTTTAACAAGAATTTAAAGAGTTAAAGAGCCGAGTCAATCTCAGATTATTAAAGGAATCGACCACAGGATTCTATCAGCGCCGGTACTTTTCGACGCGCAAGGCAAAGCGTATTTTCATTTTGGAGCACTCGTCCAGTCGCCAGTATTTAACACATCCTATAGCAGTGGAGGGTCTACCCTCACTCAGAAAATCCCTGAAAATTTGAGCTCCCTTGCCCTCACATCTCTTCTGGCATCGTCGGCAATTGTAATCTCTCACGATCATTACCATCTCTTTCTCAGGTTAACGGCAGAGTTGTGCAGTGCAACGCGCTTTCAACCCAATAGTGGGACCCGGCATCGTTCTACAATATTCTTGAATGCTAGCTGCAGCAAAAAGCTTATGATTAACAGAGCTGTTTTCGTCGACAGGAGTGAGGACAGAAGCCAACGTTGTCGTCGCTTTGAGCTTTGCAAACTCAAGCCTTGAGCAAAATTGCGATCGGAGATTTGTCATCAGAAACTTGGTTACGTAGCAAATTTCTTCAACTTCAATTGCCTAGTGCGTTGTAGGCCAAATTATTTTAATTGCAAGCCTCGCATCTAAGAAACTTGCTTTTATGGGTGCTATGTTTCGTTGACAACGAGCTTCATGAGGTACAATATAACCCATTTTTTCTCAGCAGGCCGCCGTACTGGGTTTGATGTTGCCCTAAAAGAGATTCTTCGGATAATCTTGCTCGGGAATCCGACCAGTCATAGCTCATAGCCTTGAACAAAGGGCCTGACGCAAGTGTTTGTATGCCACTGACAAAAGACTACAGAACCACGGAGCTGATCGTCAGCTTTAAAAATTTCTCCACCGCCCCCGCATTGCCGAGGTTTATCGGCTTGGCCGCGCTCATAGACCGTTTACTTTCGGTACCTTGTCCGGGCGGTGTTGTGTTTTGTGACACCAAACACTTTCTTAAAAGAGGTAGGACTGACGTGAAAGACCGCGGTCGTAGCTGCACCTGTTCGATAACACTTCATGGAGATAATAACCGTTCCGCCTTCGAAAGAGGGACTAACTCGATTGCGGCGATATGAGGACCTGATTCGTCGACATAGTCCAAAAGTAATCGCCCCCTTGACTATAAAATGAAAACGTCAAACACATCTTATACACTTGCTTAGGCGGTACAAATGCCGGAATTATCTGTGGCACCAGTTTACCAAGGTATTGTATGCACACTAATTAATATTCGGGCGCGCGGTCACGAAGCTTAAAGGTTATAAGAGCGACGCGCTTCGGCTCGGTTTGGTGCCTGGCCGGATTTATTACCATATCAGCCGTCATCGTCTAGAAGGAAGATTTTATTCCGTCTCAGCCATCAAAAGGCTAGACTTACAATACCAGTAACCTTGCGGTGGGTGCCACCTGTTTTCATACCAGCGGCGGCAGGGGCGCTCCTGGGTTTGCCTCGCCAACGCATTGTATATCTAGGCGAGAGATTTTCGCATCTATCCCTTGTGGCGCCAGTTGTCTGATCCCAAAATTTGACGTAAGCTTATCAATTGTGTCTAGTTGTCCCAGGATCTGGTACTCGAGCTCATAGAAGATACAATCCTCCCACGTCACGGTCGTAAGCTCTACTACGATGCTTTCAAGAGTATTGCAGCGCACTTGATGCCGAGACAGATTTGACTTGAAATGTCCGATATAGATTTGACTTGAATTGTCCACGAGTAAAAAACCGCAGAGATTATTTCGAACGCTCTACCCAAGAGCGGAAGCGTGAGTATATATATTGGAACTAGACTGATACCCACCATCTATACTTTGCCATATTATTCTAAATATGTCTTTATTACATGACGTGCTGCCAGCAGCTAATGTGTACCATGGACAGAAGTTCCATCATCTTTATAAACACCGTACTAATAAAAAAATACGATTACAGAAAAGTGCAATATTAGTACTAAATTACATCAATATTTTGAATGATATAAAATCACAAGCTTTTTACTTTTTAAAGTATTTTTCGGATATGGACTCGCTCGCGTGGGTTGTCGCATTGGTGATGATGCTAGCAGGAGCTGGCTACGTGTTGGTGAAACAAAGAGAGAAAGACAGTAGACAAGCACTGATGGCACAAAAGCAAAATGAGAAACTAGCACGCCAGGAATTTCATGCACTAAACAGCAAGAAAGCTAAAGGCAAGACCAAGAAGAAAGTGGACGTGACGGCGGACCTTAAGAAAAAGTCGCAGAATTTCGCATTGCAAGATGATGATCAAGATCACCCAAGCTTGATAACTGTGCTAAGGGGTCATAAATATGGTGTTACAGCCGCTGCTTACAGCCCCAATGGCCGCTTTGTAGCCACCGCCAGTTCAGACCGATCGATCCGCCTATATTTCCGTGATACGCTTAAGGATAAAAATCCGAAGCTACACAACATTAAAATTGATTACGATCATGTAACAGCCATGAACTTTAGCTCGGACGGACGCAGTTTTGTCGTTGCTACAGAGAGCGGCAATATTAAAGTTTATCGTACGTATGGTGATGTTGCAATTTATTGTACAGTTTAATCTTGTTTTTGTTGCTTGTAAATTATTCTAGAAAAGTTACGTGTCAAGCCGCAAATTGTGACAGAATTTCCTATTTCGCACAAGGCGGACGTGCACTCGGTGCTCATGAATGATATTGGCAACGTTAGCAATGTGACTTAAGGCTCAACTCTGATACATAAGTGCTGACGGGACATTGTTGTAGAACAGTGGGCAACAGTTATCACGTGTGCGGGTGACTCGGACACAGATGTTAAGTTCTGGAACTTAAATGGCGAATTGCTTCAAGTAGTTAATACGAATCAAGTGACTAATTATCATTGTGTCGGATCCAAAGACAATCGGTACATTGCGGTCGCAGCGTACACACCTGAAGTCAAGATTTACGAGATTGTTCGTGAGAGAACTGGTGCCTTTAAAAAGGTCCAGAAAATCATGACGCTGCATGGACATAGGGTATCCGATAATATCACAGTGTATGTGGAAATAATGCTGACACTATAATCTCGTTTGATTGGTGTAGACAGGTGTGGTGGACCTTGCTTTCAATGGCTCAGATACGCTTCCAGTTGATCGCGTCGTAACTATCTCCAAGGACGCTTCACTTCGTGTATGGGATATCAATGGTACCATGTCAGACTTTGCAACGGGTAGTTCCAATGATTTTCAAGCTGATGTCTTGCTGTTACATGTATTACCATGCAGTGCGATACACTGTACAAGAAGATCCCAAGGTATTGTCGTCCTTTAATGTTAGTGAAGGTGAAGCATTCCAGGCTACCGACTTTGCTCCAAATGGAAAGGTAATTTGACAACTACTTTTACGAATTGATGTTAAAGTAAAGCTTTGACTATCAAATGATGCTTGCAGATGCTGGTCATGGTGCGAGGCAAGGACCTTGTATTTATTCGGATCAGCGACAACAAAGTGTTCTCGACAATTAAGAACGCGATCGAAGATCTGATTAAGCGTGCCACGTTTTCTCCTGATGGAAGCGAGGTGCTTGTGCTGGGAAAGAACTGCAAACACGTCAAAATATACAAAACGCCCGAGCTTTAATAATCAGGAAGCTACGGGTGGGATCGATACGCAAAAGCATGAAAATCTCATGACGCAAGAAAGATGTAGACGCTTAGATGAAAATTGAACACGTGTGTGTCTTTGGGGAAATACACAGTCAAGGTCATTGACACCTCGGTAGCATGTTTAGAAGTTTCCACTTGAACATGTTTAGATTCTCAGAAAGAATGAATTTTTCCGATCGACGAATACAAATAGCCATTCGCTCATGGTTAAATCTGTTGTTTTGCTTATTGCCAAGATCATTATTCCACGACATTGACAATTCGTCATCCTCGTCAATTGAGGTCGGAAAAGCCTCTAGCATGCTCTCTAAAGTGCAAATCAATCTTATCAACACTTGCTGCTCATTCTCTAAACTCACTATCTCGCCATTTAATGCCTTATTCGCCAGTGCTACAAACAGCTCAAGAGTCTCGCAGTCAATCTCCTGCAGTCGAGCAGCTATAAGCAGCAAATCATTGACCTCATCTGCAACGAGTTCAAACGGATTCGTTGCGTGATCCAGACCATTAGATAAAAGCAATTGCTGTTTTTTTTCAAAGTATCTCGTAGATGCTGCGTCCATAGGCAGCCACATCTCTACAGCATCAAACGGGTTGTCGATAATCACGAAACCATACAAGGTCAGCAACTTATGATTCGACAACGGACCATAGTTGATAAACATTTGTGATCCAGCCACCCAATGCTGGTGACTCACAAGACAGAATCGCTCTAAGGTTTTGTCAACAAAATGAGACATTTCGGCTTCAGGGTCATGATTCAACATGTCAAACACTGGTACCATAGCTTTAAATGACTGTTTTATTTGTCGAGAAATGTTTCCTTTCTTCATTATGTCTTCGGTCTGCTCACCCCAGGTGTCGTTGAGTTGTAATGAAACAAAGCGACTCCATATCGTCGATATTGCCCATTTGTAATTCTTTAGAGAAAAACTTTCTTCCAAATCAACATTTACGCTTTCGGTAATTTTGTCAAAAAGCTCCAAGATTACCGAATCCCTTAATCGAGTATAGTCAGCTACCACTTTCTCCTTGATATGCAATGCAATGAAGAACAAGTTGCTACCCTCCAACGCCTTCAATACCTCTGGTTCAAAATATAGGGCGTTATAATAAGTAGTGGGTAGTAGGTCGATGTGCTTGGCCCACTTAGATTTGTCGCCACGTACAAACTTCTCGTAAAGCAGTGCAATCGCCAGTTGCTCGTCCTCACGCTCGGGCATAAATTGCTGGAAGAATGCAATGCTCTTGAATGGTGCGTTCTTCTGGAGACTTTTGACGGTAAAAACTGAGTCTAGCGGAATACTGAATACCTCAGTGTGCGGCGGTACGTCTTCGGCAATAAACACGCCACGCTCGGTAGCGCACGCGCCGTCCTGCGTCTCGTACACAAAGTCGGTAGCAATGTGTACATCAAGCGTCTCGGTTGCCCACTCGTTATAGCCCACGAGCGCGTCGAAGTTGCTAAAAGTATCTTTCAAAACTCTTTCGCCCTCTGTGGTCATAGTTGTCAATTATTTTACTGCATCAATGTAGGGCCAGATATGAATTCACAAATGGGAAAATGCATTTTTTGGAAATGAAATTGGATATTGGCTCCAAATGGTTCAGAAATCACATACAAAAAAAGCCGTAAGAAATAAAATGTCTGTGTTGTATTGCTCTCCACTCTTCGCATTTTAATGTGCATTCTCTTTGAGTGCACTTGATCAAGAGCTTGCTCTCGTGCAACAAATGTAATGTCCCCTCCAAAAGAAAGGTCTTCATGACCGACGCGCTTGATGAAAGCCTCGATGAGGATGCCGAGGTTTTATCCGATGAGAACAGCCCCAGAATTCACCGATTTCCGACTAAGCACCTCTCGTGATACTCAGTCTAACCACTCTCCCAAATAAAGCGCTCAATATGCTCAAATTCCCCGCTGCGCTGCTCGAGTGTCAAAATCTGCGACCTTTTCTGTCGGCATGAAGTGTATTGGCGCCTCATCGTAAGGCCAACGATGACGCCCATCACGGCATCAACAATCTCGACTTTGCTTAAACCGTCCAAAATTGCTCACCACGCAGGTGTGGAGCTTATAGACGCCTTAGCGTATGTGCGATCAGCTCGCACTCAGAGCGAAACGAGTACAAAGCAGTTGCTCTGCGAGCGACTTCTCAACCCAAAAGTTATCACTCTCCAGGGAAACCATCTGATCATGGAGCACCAGTGGTTATAAAAAGTTGTACCCTACATGGGGAATTGCTTTGGGTACTAGAAGCTGGCAAGTCACCGATGAGTATATGACTTAGCTTGCGTACTGAGTGAGGATAACACGTTGTCTGACCTGCCTAAAGGCTTGACAAGCCAGTTTCGACGAAGCGGACGTCTACTTTTAGCGTCGTCTGGCGCTTGACTTCACAAAGTTCAAAGCACGATGCAAACATCGAGGTGGAAATGCATCGTCTCATGTTTTCGCTGTTACAGTCCCGCTCGTCTTCATAGGTAGATGTCACCTCTACCGATGAAGGGGCCTTTTCGCCGCAAAGTTGGTCGCCTCTCACTAGTGGGGAGTGCACGGTGAAAGGAGAATCTGACTTTTCCTAGGAGAGTGAAAAGTCGAGAGTACGCTGGGTCGTAAGCGGTCTCGACGCCAGACCAATGTTGCCAGAGGGAAGTTTCGAACGCCCACAAAAGGTCAACCTTTCCACTCAAGCAGATACTGGAGACAGCCTTGGCATACCCGACTGGTCCGCCAAACATTCCATGTTGAGACACTCCATGCTCATCGAGCATTTCCGGCGGGGGCACTATTGGCTTTATCGGCACATTTAAATTATTTGAGAGTCACGGCGTGCTTTTGATGCTGAAATGAGATTGGTCTTGAATTAGCTCTCTGGGCTTTGTCATCGCAGTGGCTAGCACCAGTGGTTTGAAACCGTGTTGTTAATTTGAAGCAGAGGAGAACTCAACTACAGGAGATAATCGAGACGTTGTTCATTTGCAACAGGACTCTCGATGTTGGGTGGCTCGTAAGAGAGGTATATTGGATGTATTATGTATTTCGTATAGAATGCTGGATATGTTTGAATTTGCTTTAGATTATGATTCAAGTTCTTCTTCGTTACGATTGTGAACGGCCCAATGTAGCGCGGTCGTAACTTGATCTTCAAGACCGCAAGCACTGCATGTGTTGATAAATGAACTGTATTGAAAGACACTTTGCCCGCAATGTTCTCGTGTGCGCTTCGCTTGCCTCTGACATTGACGTGTCATTTTCGTGTTGGCTCTCAGCCATAGCACTGCGTTCCCCCACTCTTGACAATCAGTCTCATGGAAAAAAATTGCGGGTTACGCCAAGAAATGTAGCAGGATATAACGAGAATTGCCCGTCCGTATACACGCACTTATTGAGGAAGACTTATATCAATTAACACGCTTGATCACATGTTGCTCACTTCCAGCGAGCCGTCGATTTACGCAAACGAAGAGAAAAAGGTGAAATGACATTTGTTATGGCCAATTGACCTTTAACCTTCCCTAAACTGATATGTGTCTCCAAATCAAATATAATAGAATTGGAAGATGTACAACTTGCAAATTATATAGTCCATGTTTATCGCACACAGAAGCATGTGGCTCACACAACCGGTGTAATGAGACTGACCCCATCGCACCACCACCACTCATTCAAAAGTAGGTTTATTTATTTTTCTTCAATTTTTTTTCGACTCTGACATTCGGTCATTTGTGATCCCACTCGAGATGAAGCGCGTCAAAGAAGACTTGCGCCGACGATAAGCGCGGAGCAAAACCGCACTTCGATCCGAGAATGCGAAGGCGCCTTTGCCATCATCCATCTTGGGTGATGCACCAATTCCACGTCGAAAGGCGCTTTTGCACGTTGAGCCGAATCCTGGTATCAAACGACCAGCTTTGACCGATGGCGATTGCTATGAAGAGCTCATCGACAAGTTCAGTCGTCCAGAGTATTTGCTACCACGAAATTGATTTTCGTCACGAATTTCACGACCGACGTGATGGTGGCACCTTAGCATTTAACGAACTCTTCAGTCAAATGGAAGCTCGGATGATAATTCGAGCCGCGTATCTCCGCGCTATCGGAGCATATAACACATGCTGGAAAAGACTTACGGTCTCCTGTACGTACCGTACACCCAGCAATACCATCTGGATTTCATTCAAATAATCAACCCTGTAATCTGCCACATTCGCGATCACACATGGCGTCATTGAAAGTCGCCTGAGGGTGCAATCGAGAATCTCACTCGGTAATTAGAGCAGGCTTGACATTTTCTCCCTCCTAATGCGGCTGCTGCCGCTGATGTGGAGCCTCCTGCCAAGCGATCTCGCTTTGGTTTCGGGTGTGATAGAAGTAATCTCTAACTCAATCAGCAGCCATTAGTAGTAATCGCCAACGCAATCAGCGGTCATCTGTTTTTGTCAACGTTCCGACCCTCATGATCGTTCGTTTGATCCCGATGTTCACGATGCTCCTTGTGATCCTAATAAAATTTATGCTGAGGCGACGACGCCAAATGATTCGACTTTTAACCCTCGTGCCAAATCTGTCGCTCTGAAAGTTTAATCGATAAGACTGCGTTACATCCAGGCTGGAAGTCGCGCCGTCGCGATGATAGGGCTTGAGGTTCCCAACGTAGGACGTTGGATGTGTCCCTAGCCAGATTGGCAGATCGTTTGTATAAGAATCTCTATGGATCAGAATGGACCGATAAAGCGGCGAGCTTACCAAGCTTGAGGTATTCAGTTTGTTATAGGCGTAAGCAATACGCCACTTGCCTTTCAATTTGCGCACACAAAACGCCGGCGCGCTGGTCAGGTGTAACGGGATTACACATACCCTGGTATACAGGGGTGGGTCACACAAGACGGTGTGGCCGTACAAAGAAGTGCTATACACAAGACAGTCTAATCACACAATGGTGTGGCTTTACCATAAGAAGCCACTATGTGGCGGGACTGCCAGTAGTAATTCATTTTAATTAGGTTCTTTTATTTAATTAGGTGAACCTATGGTTTTAGATATAGGCGGCTCTGCCGCAAATAATTTTTTTATATAATTTTGATTTTAAAGGGAAGTGTGTGTTTGCCTTGGTTAAGGTTTTCGGATACTCTTGGAGGTAGCGAATTGCGACCCGCCGCCGGTTCTGGTATCGAACAAAACGTTGCTGACCTTCCTTTAAGCAAAGAGCGACGGCAGCTCCACTGCACTTGGTAGCACTCTTAGTCAGTCTACGCCTAAGTCGTTACGACTGATCCTCTGTGAGGATGGAGCAATCCCTTCATTTGCCCCAAGGCATGAAGTCCGGCCTTGATAAGCCGATATCCCTGCTTGGCCCTGAGAGCGTGTAACTTTCTGCTTCGCAAGGATCCAAAGTGATAAGAGCGCGTTTTTAAAGTATAAGATGCTTTGCTGAGCACCTATAGAAAAAGATGTCGTCATCGACTGCGTCCATGATGCCTTTTCAACGACGAATGACTCTTTCCGAACCAAGGCTGATGGTGAGCGTTATGACTTTCGAGGGTTCGGACGAAGAAAATCTCCTGCTCTGGATGAGAGAGACCGAGATGGCCATGGCATCCGCCATGCCCCAGAATGAGCAACAGGGCGCGGCGCTAGCTATCGCCAAACTCGGGACCGAACGTGAGAATGGGCACTAACGTGACTTCTGTTGAAGCGGCGTTTTCATCCTGGAAGGAGCTGAAGCGTCAGCTTTTGCGAGTGATCTCACCGCCCGACAGGGCAAGAAAGAGTCGGTGGGCTGTGCGGAAGAGTTGCATACTCTCATTGCCGGATTGCAGTCGATCCTCCTTCCGAGTGATTATTTGAATTATTAGAACGTCACTCCTTTAAAGGAGTCGGTAAGCCATGTCAAGCACATGCTGTAGGGTTTTATTCATTATACTCTAACCTCTCTCTACCGGCCCGGAGATTGAATCCTGGACCTCCCGGTTCTGAAGTGAACAGCATTCCAGTGCACCAAAGGATCGGTTCCAATCCTCTATCCGAGGTGGTCAAAGTGATCGTCTTTATGAATAATCTCCGCACTGGCGTGGCCAGAATGGAATTCTTCAGTGTGAATTCGTCTTCTTTTGAAGAAGCGATGAATGTGGCATTGAATGCCGAGTTCAGCTATAAGTCGCCGCGACTTGGATGGTATGCACACCCTCAGAGCTCGTCGAGCGGGCTTGAGCCAATGGATCTCAGCTATGCTGAGAAAGAGGAGGGAGAGCATCGAGCTCCCATGCAGCGGTTAAACACCCGACGGCGTTTTGTCTGTGGAGACACCCGTCATCTTTCGGACTGGTTGTCCCATGCCAAGGCGCGTGAACGTTCATTGAACCGACGTCCCACATCTAACAAGTCTGGTTTGTCGCGGGAAAACAATGAAACCCAGTAGGGGCAGGGCGTCTCAAAGAGGTAGAGGGCAGCAGAACTCAGCCCCGCAGAGCTCCGTGCTCCTGAATACGGATCATATATGCC